AGGGCCTTATTCTTCACAGAGACATGGCAAGACTAGGGTATCTCATTCCCTGGAGGTCCACACCATCTTCACTATCATTAGGAAGCATCTGTGTGTCTACCTGACTACTAAGATATGACCTGAATTAATTTGTCTTGTTGCCCTAATGAAGAGTGTGCTGGGTACGCTGTCACATGCTTGTGATCTCAGTTCCAAGTAGCCTGAGGCAGGGGAAGTGCAAGCTTGAGGCCAGCCTGGGCTACAAAGTGAGAGCCTGTTTCAAAAGGTTAACGAACTAGTAGTTGAACAGACAATCACCGGTCATTGATGTAATGAAACAAAATGTAAGGTTTAAACGTGGTCTTTGTTGCTGAAGGGCTATGGACTATTGCTTCAGGGTTACAGTCTGAGGCTCCAGCTATTGTGTATGTGAGCTTTTATTCATGGATTGTGACTCCACTTTTATTCCTAAGGCTATTGAAAGTGAACTCTAGTCCCCCTGTTCCTGACTTGGACCTGGCCGTAAAGGAATTCTCTGACCTACTCTCATCTGATAACAAGTCATAAGACTTTTTTCATTCCAGGGGTCCCTGATCCAAACCCTGGAGAAAAAGAATGCTGCACAGGGAGGCCCAGAAAAATGCTGGTGCAGACCCCGTTTTCCTCACTCAGTCTATCTGCCTTAGGTCAGGCTCTTTTTGTCCTAGTACATTTAAATGATACCCATGCTTCAGCTGAATCTCCTGATAGTTTCCACAGTGACCCCCAAAAGGACCGGGTTTGGCATTTCCAGGCAGTTGAACATGAGTAAGGTGGTCTTGGAGGTGGTATTCCAGTGGGGACATGGCAGCTTCATGCTCTTTTCTGTCTTCATCTGTGTCCTTTGCAATATGTCATAGCAAACCAGTAAACAGGAGCACTCCCTAAGTGCTCTACACTGCTCTACCAAGTTAACTAACATGGAGGAGGACTTCTTGGACTAGAGATGACTGGTCAGAGATCCCAGCAAAATAACCTTGGATGGTGACTGGTGTAACAGGAGGCAAGCAGCCTTGAGGACTGTGCCCAAAATGGTAGGGGCTGCTGCTGTCTTAGTGTCAGAGCTGAATAGAGTTAAGGGACCCTCAGCTGGTGTCTGCAGCAGAACTCCCTGCTTACATGTTCCTGAGGAGAAATCCTTACACCTTCTGTGCTGATGGTGATGCGAGGGTAGACGAAAAATGGACTTTTTGCTTTGTTCTATTCCTGGGGGAAAGTGATGGAAAGTTTCTGGTCCTCGGCTTCTGGTAATATAGAAGTCATATGGGTAACAGCAATCATCTCATCATGACGCTCTTAGAACTGAGTAAGGCGGGTCTCTGAACATGCTCTATTGGCTCTGAACTGTGGTGTGTGCACAGCTGTTTTCAGTTTTAATAGGGAAGACGGAGACTGAACAGAAACTTAAAATACATTTATTTGCCAGACAGAAAAGGGGAACCGTGAGAGGCACTATTGCAAGGGTTTGGTATGTTGGGGTATTTTAGGAAAGTTAATTCGGCACTGGAAAATGTAAGAGCAAAAAAAAAAAAAAAAAAAAATGGAGCAGAATAACTAACTTGGAGGCCAGTATACTGGTCCAGGTGAGATTAGCCTAGATCCTGAGATCAAGGGGATGGGCAGAAAGAGAAAGAAATGAGGAAAATATTCAGTATTAGTTCTTTCACATATAGCTCACTGTTCTTAGAAAGAATTTGAACTTTGCTATGAATGTGGGTTTCTCTTGGAGGAGAGAGGGTACCCTATGGACAAGAAAAGTGTAGGACACAGTGAGTCCAACTCAGAGTAGATCTGTGAAGAAACAAGCTGTAATACTGAGTAGTGGAGTAGGCTATACTTTTGAACCTTCCCTACCTGAGCCTCCTTTGAAGGCTAAGTGTTCTAGACTTAGAGAAGATGGTTAAAGCAAAACCAACCAACCAACCAACCAACCAACCAACCAACCAACCAACCAACCAAAACCCCGTCGTTGGAACTTCAACACTAACTGCTCTGCAAACTATGTCTTATATTTCAGAGAAAGGCGATGAAAGAGACAGAGAAAGAAGCTTCGTGGGAAGGCACCAATGTCCAGAAGGTGCCCAGTTACAGATATGTTGGCACCCAGTAAATCAGCTTCATGTTGTTTTACCAGAGGAAATGTCAACCTGAATAATGTGAGTGCAAGACGAATAGCAGGTGGTATGTTTCCCTTTCACACCTGGGAAACACATAAGGGGCCCAGGGTCATGGATTTGAAGATGATACTTACCAAGAATCCACAAGCTGGGAGATCCTGGGAGCTCATTTGCAATCAGAAATATATGTGTTCCAAGAGGGTAGAAACAGAAAGATGATTAGCGGGGTAGGAATGGGTGAATTTAAGGTCCCAGAGAGGAAAGCAAGTAACTAGGTCTATGGCAGCCATAAAGGCATATCTAGGTACCTCTCCAATCTCATTTTTTTTTTCTCATTTTACTGGCAGGAACTTGTTTTATTCCAGGTAGAAGTATACTCCACAAGAAAGGATAAGCTTCTCCTAGCGTATGTTAAATCTAGCTGACAGCCAGATCTAAGTAGACTCTTTTTATTTGCTTGGGACTTTTATAAATATTTCCAAACGGGTATGTGTGATCATCTGGATGTGTATCCTATAGCCGTTTTCTTTCCTTCTTAATTGGAATGAGGAAACACTGGTCAAATCCAACCCCAAAGAGGAGATGTCCAATCCATTTGACTGAGCTACGAACTGCTCAGAAGGGATGGCCTTTTCTGTTGAGTAGTGGAGACACAGAACCACAGGCAAAGATGAAAGATGTCATTCAAACCTAGCTGAAGCTACACTATGCTTCCTGGCTCCTGGACCCGTTATACCCTGCTGCTCTCTTTCACCTTTCAAAATAGTTATTCGGTGTAGCATCCACAATGCATTGTATGAACAATTCACAGGATTTCTCTGCACTGTGAATTGCTGAAGAAAATTGACTTAGGGCCAAGGGTGATATGTAATGGGAGCGGCTGGGTGGTCCTAGTGCCGAGTTCAGAAGAGGCACAGAAATGCTGACTAAGCATGGGATCCTCCCAACCCATCCTGGCCAATCCATTGCACAACAGCGTGGCTGCATCTGTCAGCGACACAGGGAGCATCCACACACAGGACGGATGTGTCCAGATTCTAGAAGATGTCTCCAGTTCCCTGGGGTTGGCTTCTGAAATCCTCCCTCTGAAGCTGGAGTTTCTAGTGAACTGAGCTCCGAGAGAAGCTTGCCCAGAGCACTGGATTCTTCCTTATTCCGCCAGCTGCTTCTCTTCTTCGCTCTTCCACTTGCCAGAGGGGATTCGGGAGACCTATCTCCTGTTGCAATCTCTGCTTCCAACAAGAATCTGTGACCTTGGAAAGAGTGCAGGTCTCACATGCTTGTCAGAGCCAACAAGACTTTGAGCAGGGGCGCTGTGGTGTTCAGGCCAGGCCACTGGGTACACTACAGCAAGAGACCAGAAAAGCACACCCATTCTACCGGAGAAGAAAATGATACTGGGGCGTGGGGCAGGGAAGATATTCCATTTCTAGATCCTACCCTCTTTTTTCCTTTCAGATAGAATGAGAGATGACCTGGTTCCTAATGTCTGAAGGGCCACAAGGAGTCCAGCACTGCTGGACCCAGTCCCAGGGAGAGCAGCTTTTGTGCTCATATGGGAGGAAGTGGGCGAGAGTCTTCCTGTGCCCAGGCAGGCAGAGGGGACAGAAGGCTCTCTACCTTGGGCAAACTTCTCTCCACTCCGGCAGGGCACAATCCCTCTTTTACCTCGCTTTCTTTCCCCTGCCCCGTGGGAGTGGAGTGAACAGGTGCTCGCACACACCGGCTTGGAGGGCTGTCCATCACCAGCCAGTCCCGCGCCAGCAGCTGCTCAGCCCCTTCCCTGCTTTCAGGCGGGCTCTCTGCTCAACGAAGGCCCCTGGGTTCCAGCAGGGGGGTGGCAGGGACTGGGCTATGAGGCCTTCTGGAGACTGGGGCGCGGACCTCAAGTCTGCACACTCGAGTCCCATCAGCTGCGGGGTGGGAGGAGAAGAAAAGGGTCAGCTCTGGGCAGCACCCGGGCGGGTTTGAGCTGCGGCAGACCGCCAAATGGAGATTTCCCTTCCCATCTCAGTAGCAGAGTGCGGTGCAGGGAGAGTCCCTCGGGCAGGGCTGCGGTGCTGGCTAGATGGGCGAGGCCCCAGGCTGCAGGGCGCCCACTGCGGGCGGAACTCGGGCAGCGCAGCCTGAGTCCTGGAGGCCACAGAGGCAGTGGGAGGTCACCTGCGTCCTCCAGCCCTGTCCGACTGGCCAGGCTGGGACTGCGCTGGCTCAGGTGGTGCCCGCTGAATCTTGCGGTGCAGCAAGCTTGTCCCGCTGTCCTCCACAGGCCGCGCAGATGCACACTTCCCTTACCCTGGGAAGCAGAGCTGCCCAGACCTCCTCCTCTTGGAGGAGAAGAAGGAGGAGGTCATACCACTTTCCTTATATTCCAGGAATGGCTCAGTCCTGTTTTAAGAAGCTAGCTCTCCCGGCATATTAAACGAAGTTTTTGCTTGCCTTTTGTTAGGAAACTTTTAATCACACATAATTTAGGTTCTAATCAGTCGGGCGTTTAACAGGCCCAGAGATAAAGCTTCCGTTTTAAACCCCGGCTCTGGGGGCTGCTGGAAAACTGCCACCGAATTTAGGCTGGAGTTGAAGGTTAGCCGGATTTACCATTGTTTCCCCAGGGTGTTTAACACTCACGGTCGCGTTTTCTTTCATTTAGGATACTTTCAAAAGAAAATTCTGGAAAATGCTTTGGCGATTTGTTTAGTTTAGTTTTTGTTTTTTTTGTTTTTAAAAGAAATTTGTTTGAGTCCTTACAATCTAATCCAGAAAGATTTCTAAAATAGGGAGGCGTGAGCATTAGAGACTGAAAGCAGCTGTGTGCCAGGAAATAAGTATCATGCAAAAAATATCATGCTAATAGATATCCTTTATAAGTGGAAATATCTATGTTTAATTACTTTTAAACTGTAAGATGGAAAACACAATTATACACTATAACAAACCTGTACAGAAAAATCCCGAACAATTAAAAGCAAGTGCTAATATTTTTTTCTTCATGATTGAATTAATTGTCCCCAAATGATGACATTGATAACCTTCCCCAAAATACTGTGTTTCCTCTTCTGAAAATGCTTGAAGAGGAATAGTTATTACCAAGAGAATACATTTAGTTTTGTCCCTAATAAACAGAAAATTGCATAGCTTTTGATATTGTTGTACACCCTCAAACGCATCTTTTAATTTCATGGTTAGCTCTTTTATATTTTAAAAACTAAATTTTCAGAGATACATATAGGAGTCCTAGTAATTATAAACACATTTTACTCATCTGATTTTTATAACATGCATTTCATCATAACTGTACAACTGAAATAGACATTGAACTATGCGGTGTGCATCTCTTTATTCAGCAACATAGTCTTAGACACCTTGTTCAAGCAAATTAAATGAATTTGAAAGAAACTAAAACAAAAAAGAAAAATCCTGCCAGTAAGAGAGAGAGAATCACAGTGTAATACAGACAAGAGGGAAGGAAAAGAAGTTCTCATACGAAAAGAGATTTATTATGACATAGAAAATGTTCACAATCTTTGAAACACACTTCAGAAACTAGTAAACACCTTAGATAGAGTTGTGCCAATTACTCAGCCCACAAGCATCTGCTTTGTCTTAATTAGAGTGGGAGGTGAATGACCACTGTTTATTTTCATTTTACTCATTAATTATGAAAAACTGCATTTAATTCATCTTGCATAGTGAGAGATTGGCTGCGCAGATGTAAGTCGTAAGGGAAGTGGCTGTCGGTGGGCAACCTGAACATGGCACCCTGCCCAAGGGGACCCCTGGGTGGCACTGCACAGTAATGCATGCCATAATTGTAATTTTTGCCATAGTCCAAGGTTTCTTCTTGCTTCAGGGAAAATATCCCATTATAGTTAATTGGGGGAGGACTTAAGGGACCTTCAAACTGAGGGCTGGCACACTCAGGGGAAGTACTTTCATAGAAGGATTCATATGCACTGCAGTAATTGTAGGGTTTCATGGACTTGGAATTATCAAGAGTCCCATGCCCTGGGGGAGTGGCCAGCTCAGGGCTGTGGTATGGTGGGTAGAATGTGGAGTAGGGCGACCTTGTGTGGTGGGCACCCTCCCCACCCTGACCCATCAGGAAACTCCTGGCGTTGAGCTGTAAGCAGCCTGCCACCAAGTTTGTAGTTGGCTGGGAAAGACCTTTGCATAAGTTTTGGACGAACGTGAGCAGATCCGGTCTCTTGCCAATCCTCAGAATTTCAGAAAGTGCCCAGATGTAATTTTTGGCCAGCCGTAAAGTTTCTATTTTGGACAGTTTTTGGGTTTTAGAGTAACAGGGGACCACTTTTCTCAAATTGTCCAGAGCATCATTGAGGCCGTGCATCCGGTTCCTCTCGCGCGCATTGGCTTCCTGTCTCCTGAACTTTACCCTTTCCAGTCGTAGTTTGGTGGTCTTTTTTTTCCTGAGACCTCTCCTTCTGGGCAAGCCGTTTTCATCTTCTTCCTCTCTGTCTTCCTCCTCCTCTTCTTTCTCGGTTTCTTCTCCAGGGGCCCTTTTAATGCTCTTTCCTCGAAGGACAACTTGTTTTGGAAAGCTCTCTGGTTTCTTAATTTGTTTCTGGTCCTCGCATTGTCTAGCAAACTTTCTGCACATCTGGGATTCGGGCATTACGACAGACTCGTCAAACGGTAGTGTCAACATGGTTCTTTAACCTAATTTACCTGAAAAAAAAATGCCAGCATAGTATTTAAAGTGTTATCATTTTTAGAGTTGATATACTTCAAATATATTTGATGACTAAAATCATAAGACTCCGAGAGCACATTAAAAAAAAAAAGACTGATTCTAGGACTCTTATTTATCTTGAATAAAAAAATCTGAGCTTCTGCAGATCAACAATCATAAAGACATTGATCTGTGCAGAAGTCTTACTTTATACAGGCAATTTGTAATTATCAAAAGAAAATAGAAAAGAAAATACTTATTAGAGACGATCACATTTTCTATTTCTCTTGGATTTTAAACTAGGCTTTTAATACACATGGAATGGAGTTAAAGCAAATAAAAGCATGACATAAAAATGCAGACTTTCATTAATTCTAATTCCTCTGAGAACAAAATAGAAGAGAGACTAATTTTTAAAACGAAAAGTGTTCTCTCTCCCTTAAGCTAACAAGCTGAGGGGGTTTTGTTAGAAAAAAAATATTGCCCAACTTTATTTCCTGTTAACCTCAAACTGGGAATTTAGGCAAGAGACTGTAGAACATGCAGATTTAAAGAAAAGATCAATCAGATCAAATTTAAAATTGATTTTTTTCTGGTGAGTAAAGAACTATAAGAGAGTACTGCCCTCTCAGCCTCAAGGAAAAGGGGAGTGGGCTAATTTGAAAATAAAACTATAAGCAAATGGGAAAAAAACCCACAAACATTACTGGCATTTTTTTTAAATCAAAGCAAATGTTGCAACTGCTTTAACATCTAAGAATTCCCCCAATGTAATTGTCTGTTTACTGCTGTTCCGCTCCTAGTGTTTTTGTTCTAAGAGCCACGGAAGTCTCCCTCTAGCTAATATCGGACAGGAACGGTCCAAGGATTCTGCCTGCAATTGTGCACGTGTGTTCAGAATCCCAAATGAAAGGGGAAAATAATTTGTGTTTAAAATGCATTTGTTTTTTGTTTTTTGTTGGGTAAAGCAGCAAATATTTTTCATCTAAAATCTTCAACTATTAGCATATTAAAACAGAGACTTTTAATTTAACAATCTTTAGCCCCTCACTACACACACACACACACACACACACACACACAATGTCCACATACTTGCAATGTTACATAATAGCAATGAAAGTATATGATAATTACATCATAAGAATGAAATATGATAAGAACTTATAGATGGCAAAGAACATAGAAATACTCTAAGACAGTGATACTGTATCTTTAAATACTTGCATGCAAAACCAGCACCAATTGAGTATATCTTTATTTATATTACCTTAGGTTTTAATTTCATTCAATAATCAGTTTTCATTTTGGATCTTCCAAATCTTTTCAGGCTGAGTGTCGCATCGTCTCCTGGAGCCTCTAGATCTGTGTGTATCTGCACTATCTCATTGATTTCTAAAAAGTGACATTGATGCCAACTGCCAGAGCTGGTACCCATGCCATCTGCTAGTGACGTCACAGGGCAGAGAGAGCCATGTGATCCTCTCTTGGGACCTTCATTCTGCACTGATCATCTGGCATCCCTGTAAGTGGGTACCAGCATTCATGCATCAACACAGGAGGTTAGACTGATAGGGAAAAAAAAAATCTGCACCAGCCTTTCACATACAGTAGGTGTGTTTCTCTTCTAGCTGCTCGGGTCTCACCGGCAATCTGTAGAAAGAGCTGTGTTAGTGATGGGTTTCGCCCTGCCAATGGTGCAACTGTTAGGCAGTCGTTAATATTCCATTCATTTGCTAGGTGGGCTTTTGTGTAAGTGAGAGGTTTTTGTTGTTTGTGGGGTTGTTGTTTTGCAGGGATCACCAGCTCCTCCTGGTGCATCTGGGTACCAGAAAAGGAGAGCCTTGTGTGAGAACTAGAAGCTGGGGTTGGATGCTGAAGAAAACCAAGATTAAGGTCGACAAACGGGTCAGCAAAGGGCTCCTTATTTCCCTGTTTTGCTTTACGGCATGTAACTTAAGGGTGTGTGCCTGTGTGTTTTTCTGCCCCAGACTTCTTTGCTTCTCAGGATTTCAGAATAAAAGATCAGTTTCTCCATCTGGGGTCTGTGAAAGACATCTTCAAAAGCTCTCTTACACTTGCTGCTGTCTTTTCCACAACTTTTCAGAAGGAATGTATGCAGACCGAACCGCGCACAGACCAATTACAGAGCTCCGGCGAGTCTTCGGTTAGATTTGAGGCTGCGTGTTTTGCCCACCTCTGAGCCACTAACTCCACTCAGTTACTCTCCCGGATCTCCTGGTGTTAACCTGCTTGTGCTTTTTCTCTTCAGACACAATATACAGGAAAACCATCGCTTACATTTGCTGCTTCTCTCTCCTTGACATGTGGCTGTACAACATCTTATTTATTTATTTATTTATTTATTTATTTATTTATTTATTATTTATTTATTTATTTTTAAACCAAAGGTTTAGCTTTCTTAATTTTTGGAGCTTTCAATATTTTTTTCCTCTGTCCTACTAATTTTTATCCTTGCTACACTGTTTCCTCTAGACCCAGATTCACCGAAGTATCTTATTATTTAACATCAGTGTCCTGTTCTATTTCTCCTTGTCTCTCATTCCCCCTTCCTGGTGCCTTTTTTAACGAAGCAGGGCAGAAGCAGTTAAGCAGAGGAGGCAAAGCTCCTCTAACAAAACAGGATATAAAGCTAGAGGCCAGCCCTACACTACTCTCCTTTCTCTCCTCCTCTGAGATACCTCCTTCCCGAACGGACATATTATTTTAGGGACACCTGGAAAAGGAGAAAAGTGAACTTTTGCAAAAGTGAAACAAACAAATAAACACAAGCCTAATTGTTTGACAGCTGCACAATCTCTTGCTCTAAAGTGACAGAGCATGCTTCTGGTCTTAGTGTAATTCCTGGCAGCCTGGCGTGGTTGAGGTTGTGTTAGCATTTTCCTTATAAATCTCACTTTCGAAAGGTTTCGAATTCTGCCGCTTTAAGACACTTTGGATCCAAACAGGTACTAAGGGCTTTACCCAGATTCAATCCTGCTCCTTTTACCCCTACAAATTTCTATCCCCTTAAAAAAAAGTTTGCCTGACCTTTCCTGAAAGGTTCTATAAAAGATCAAGAGTTGATAAAAAGAAAGATGCTAGGTAAATGTAATTTGTCTCTCTTAAAGAGGTAGTAAAAATGATTGTTTTAGACGTTAGTAAACCTACTAATTTATAGATTAAAATAGGTCAGTGGGCCTAGCTTGTATTTTAAACTAAATCTTGTCACATCAGTCATTTTAGAATTTGCAGCTGAATATATCTTTACTAGTGATATGTTAAATATTTATTTTGCGGAGCTTTTGGTTCAATATCTAAATGTGATTTTGTATAAATACCAAGAATATCAATAGAAAGGCAGTTGCCGATGTCAGTTGTTCTCATGTGTGATTTAATTTTTAAATGCAAAAGAGGGAAAAAGCATCAGATTCCTGAGCTACAAAGGTAGGCAGAGAAGCTTTGGATCTCCCAGGTTGCACCTGTTCTAAGTCCCCAGGAGCTGTATTGTATTAAATGTGTCACAGACACAAAAGTCAAAAGCCAGAAACAACCTAATTTGATATGTCTGTAGAAAATTATCACCAATGTAACACCCGGGAAGGATGATCCCATGTTTTATGTTTATGTTTGAGAGAGAGAGAGAGAGAGAGAGAGAGAGAGAGAGAGAGAGAGAGAG